TAGTAGATGTGAGAAAGATTTGATATTTCAAAACTAAATTTTAGAATAAATTTAATTATATTAAATTTATATCATAATTAAATATATATGTTTTCATAATTTGTAGTCCAAATTTGTAAAATATGACTAAAAAGTCAAAAGGGAAGATTATTTAGGGTAGAGGTAATATAACTAGAAAAAAATATAAAATAATATGAGGCATTGAATTGATGATAGATTGATAAATGTGATAAAACATAAAAAGAAATACAGATAGTTAAATTTTAATTAGAAAAAAATATATATCCAAAATATATTTGATCCGAAACCGAAATATATCTGAACCGAACTAGACCCGAAACCGAAATATATCCGACTCAAATTGTATCCGAACCGATTTATAACCGAACCGTATCTGAACCGACTCGAAACCGAACCGAACCGAACCGAAAAATGTATAGAACCGAAATCAAATCCGAACCAAAATTTAACCGATCCGAACCGAACCGATTATAACATATAACTGAAAGATATCCGAATCGAAAAAATCCAACCCGAAACCGATTTGGTTGATCCGATTGCCACCTCTAGGTAAACCCAAACAGCCCGAGAAAAATAATCAATTATAGTGAGAAAATAATGTGCACTGGATGATATACAAGCTGAATAAGGAACCCATAAATCACAGTGTATTACATAAAAAACAACTTTATTATGATTAATAGGAAACCAAGGACGAGTGTGTTTAGACAAAAAAATTTACAGGTCTTTGATATCTTAACAACTTTGTTGGTTTTATTGGAATGAAGAAAAGATAAACATCTAAGGATGGGTGTTCCAACAATTGATGAAGAACAAACGAATCAAGATAAGCTTCTTAGGCTGACGTTGGAGAGGAAACACAGACATACAAGTCATTTTGCAGATCACCCTGTCCAATCTCCATCTTCAACGAACAGCCATGTATTACACAACAATGATCATTAAAAATACTATGATAGGTAGTCTCGCGAACCAAGCAACCAACAGAAATCTAATGATAATGTAGGTTTGGTACATATAACACATTATGAAGAACCACGCTAGTAGACAAACGAACGCTTCCCTTTTGACGGCCTGAACACGAGAACCGTCAGGAAGACATATGAGAAGACATATGAGCCGAGGAGAGACATCCTCAAGATGAAACAAATGTGATAAAGTTCTTGTCATATGATGTGAGGTCACATTATCAATAAACCATTCACAAGAGGAAAAAGAAATACCGGTATATGTACGAGATGTAGATGCCTTTAACACTGACATCAGAACAGCTATTGGTAGCATTCAGAACAGCTATTCCGCCGCTAACTTGGTTTGGTTGACCACCACCGGCATTATTACCGGCTGCATTATTTGGTCGAGGATCCCCTCGGCCTTCGGATGACGCACCATGACTACCACGAAAAGAAAAGCCATGACCACGTCTAACTTTCCCATAGTGAGCGAGGAAAAAAATAAGTTCAAAACATGTATCAATACTATGATTTGTTCTTCCACAATGAGAACAAGAAAACTTGCCGGAGGGAGGTGGTCGGTAGTTGATTTGGGCAGCACACGCAACAAACTCCGTGCGATTGTCACGAGCACGAATAATGAGACAATAAAGTTCTTCCTGAGATATAAGATAATAAGCATGATCAATATCAAACACATGTTCAGTTCCAAAAATTTGAGACTGAATATGTTTGAACTACTGCTCATCGTTCAACCCTAGTAAGAAAATCAATAGTTTTATCACGTTCCACGCGTATGAGTGTGGTAGTCGCGGCTTCGCACTTGCACCCCCCAATCGGATCAAACGATCCATACAACTGATTCCACGATGTGATAAACTTATTGTAATATAAGACAACACTTTGGCCTTTCTATCAAAGAGAATTCAATTCAGATTTCAATTGATATACACGTGGCCCATTTGAACAACTATAACGCTTTTCCAAATCATCTCATAATTCGTAAGCAACAGTATGAGAGAGAATACTAGGTTGGATGGATTCATCAACACTTTTAAAAATCCAGCTACAAATAATTTGATTATTAGCATTCCAAGTAGACATCTCATATTCATCAGTGGGTTTGGAAACCCCCATAGAAGACAAGAAAATAGATTTACCACATCCACCTAACACATTACGAATAGCCTTTTTTCCCAAATATCAAAGTTGTCACTCTTGAAAAGATATTTGGTTACGGAGTTAGTGGGACCTTCTAACGGATGGAGATAGTATATGGAAGATGAATCATGTATCAATCTCGTCTTCTTAGGGTTTGCAGAGCCTTTGGTGCTCATGGTGAGAATGATCGGCGACGATGACTTACCAAAATAGAGGACAACGCTAACAAGGATGAAGTTGGATGAACGATAGAGCCTGGTGGACGCAACGCCTTTGGACGAAGCACATCGACAACTAGAGAGGCTAGGTTTTTACGTACTAAACCAAGAATCGCTCTGATACCATGTAGAATTTCTGAACGTAAACTGATGATTATTTCCATTCATGACAAGAGTTAATATACACTTAGACTATAAGGGTAACAGACCCAATAAAATAGCCCAATACATAATATACAAATTATACATACATACGCTAATAGTATTTATCTTGTTTTGACTTTTTTCAGTTAAAATTGATATACTTTGACTATTAAAGAAATAAAACTGATATAAAATACTGATATAAATTTTTTATTGGACTTATCAATGTCCTGACCAAATACTGTGCTTCAGCCTTCAGGTACTGCCACCAAAAAATGATTGATTACAAAAACTCAAAACCGAACAAATAGTCGAGAATCGATTAGTATTTATTTTTATTCTAATGTTAATTGTACACTTCAAAAATTATTTAAAATCCTAACGTTAATTATAAATTATGTTCCAGAGCCAACCTTTTGGCAATGGGAGCACTTGCCTCTACTAGATTGAAAAAAAGATTAGTAATTTGATCATCATTTTTTTTTAAAATAGAACTATTGTTCTCATGAATTTTAAATTATAAAAGTATATTTAAATAATTTTAATATCAATAGTGTTTATAATCTATGAATGTATACAAATAGAAATATAAGTGATTAAAGTATTATATTAGAAATCGTCAAAAGTCAAATTAAAAAAAGATATGGGGAGGAAGTCACAACATCATCACATCCTAAAATAATTTCAATTTAATCCTTCATTTTATAAACATGCTCACTATGTTACTGAACATAGTAGCATGTTAGAGAAAGAATATGATTAATTATTGAAACCAATTTGAAATAATTTTAAGGGTCTGTTCTGTTTCTTATTTATCTTTATTAAAATCAGATTTTAATATATCAGATATTCAGATCCAACTAAATCAGATCAAATTCAATTTAAACAAATTAAAAGTGGTAAATTTAAAGATCTTATTAAATTAGATATAGCTAGAAAAATGGTAAAAAGTCAATGCTAATATTATTTTTTTATTACATAATAATTATCATATGAATAATTTATATGCAGTTTCTTTTATATTCCTTAGATCCATACTTCTTTTATGGACCTTTATAGTTTATACATAAAATGAATTTATTTGTTGGCCTTGTAAAACTTAGGAGATATAACTATGAGACTATGAAAATATTTTAGAAAGTACATATTTTTCATATGGACCTTAGCACTACAATAATACGACTTTATTTTATACTACATTATCTAATGCTTCATACAATCACTAATATGAGGTTATATACAATTGAATTATATGTATTGTTATTATTAAATATGATTAAATCCTATTTAATAATATTATTTTTATTATTTAAATAATCATAATATTTAATTTATTACTAAATTATTGTCTTCTTTCAAAAATATGTAAAATTGCTGCTTATTTAAAATAATTGTATTTAAAAAATATTATAGAAATAAAGACAAATTTACATACATGTAACAACTATTAAAAAATTTATTTTAAAAAGTAGTGACATATCTATTTTAATTTTAATAACTAATTAAGGAAAAACCATACGTAAACAAATTATTCGAGACTTGTAATAGTATACATGATAATATTTTAAGGGTGGATGGAGAAATACTTCTAATAATAATACTCTCTCTATCCTATAAAAATTTCTTACTTTGTTTTCACGAAAAAATTTAAATGTGTAAAAATGATAAAAATATAAAAAAGTGTTTATTTTTTTAAATGGAAGTGAAACCTTCTGGATTATATATATATATATATATATATATATATATATATATATATATATATATGTATATATATATATATATATGTATATATATATATGTATGTATATATATATATATATATATATATATATATATATATATATATATATGGGCTGGTTCAAGTGAGAATGCACCTTGGTAAAAGAAATAAGAATAAAATCTGGCCTTTGAATCTGATGCATCGTGCAGCTCAGATTACATTCTGCACTCAAATTTTGAGATAGTGCATTTTCAAAGGATTATGGTGCATTTCGACATGATGCATTTTCAAACCATCTTGGTGCACCTAATTTTGATGCAATCTTAACCCTTAGATCTCCCAATCTAATGCACCAAATTTATTCTTATTTCTTTCATTAGATTGCATTCTCACCTGAACCAAAATCTATATATATATATATATATATATATATATATATATATATATATATATATATATATATATATATATAGACACACACACATACACATACATATATATATACATATACATACATACATACATACATACATACATATATGTATGTATGTATATACACACACACACACATATATATACATATACACACACACACACATATATATATACATATACATACATACATACATACATACATAGATACATACATACATACATACATACATATATATATATATATATATATATATATATATATATATATAAAGAGGAATGCCCTTGTTTTTTAATAACAGTGTTCTATTGACTCGATCAATGATATATTTATTAAATTTGTGATAGGTGAGAAGATATGTTTACCAAAACGTGATAAGGTTGGATGATTTGCAGAAGCTCATTGATTGCTCCTACATTCAGGTACTATTACATGGAGTGTTTTACTGAGAGTGTACGACCTTCCTATATAAAAAAATAAACAAATAAGTTCTCAGTTATACACGAGTAATATTGTACAATTTATGTGAAAAATTATTTAGTTATTGTAAATTGAATTACATTAATAGTCAATAAACAAGATGTAATCAATGAACGATTGAGTAATAGTAGCAAGTAATATGCACGTAGACATAAAAACTCTAGAGAAAGAGAGAGAGCACAAGAGTATTAATATGCTCTTAGATTCTCTCTTTTTCCCTTATAAATACTAATGGAATGCAGAAAATCTTCTCACTTTTAGAAAGAAAAAAGAGAGGTTACTCTCCTATTTTTCTTCATAAAGGTAATATTACACCACAAACCACTGCACAACAAGTTATGACAAAATACTATCTAATTCCTTGTAACTGTAGAGATAAGATGTCAGATAGTGAGGGAGGGGAACTCCAACTTCTGAAGTTTAGGCCAACCATAAAACCAAAGAAAAACAAAGAAAATAAAGTCATAGGTGACAAGCTGGCCAAGCAAGATTATGTGAGCACACCCCCCAGCCGCTCGAGTTGAAGGTTGCATCCCACAAAAGCAAGAAATGAAAGGCTTCAAAGGATGTCATCGTGCTCGATATTCAAATGTATCTTCCAATGGAGGCCACCACACTCGATCAGATTAAAAGTGGGAAATTGAAGGCTATCTTCTCTCTAGACTAACATTTCTCTCATGACCCAAGTCAACGATGTTGTCTTCTTATGTGGTTATGTTCATGCCTTGATCTTTTGGTTTCAAGAAGTCTAATGTAAGGAGAACCTTGATCTTTATACATGGTTTAGGTTCAACCTCTTCAAAGTAGCGGATCCTTCAAAAAAATAATTTCCTTTTGTTCGTGGTGTGAGATGTATGCTTCTATGTTTCCCATAGAAGCGTGACCAACCATGCTTTCTAGCATAGTAGCAAGAATTTGTCAACTACCTACTACGGGGAAGCTTTTTTCACGAACATATATCATTCCTTGGGAAGTGGTTAGTCTTAGTCGCTTTCTCTTCTCATGGTCACTCAAGTGGCTCACTAAGTTGAAACCTACTTTCTAATTGCATCACATGCATGACTCTCTCTAACTTACAAGGGGATGGGAGAAAGTCCATGGACTAAAGAATAGCTCAGACTTACCTAGGGATATAATGCATTGGGAAAATGCTCCCACACTTTAGGGTGCAGACTCTTAAGACTTATTGAATTTCAAGTGTTCCTATGGTGGTCGCTAGAAAGTTGTTGTGACATTGTCCTAAAGGGTTAAGGCCTAAGACATGACTCCCCTACTTCATGAATGTGAGCTTTCCTTGATTATGAACTCATATTCATACCTAAAGATCATGCATGGTCGTAGGACTTGAGCAAGCTTGGTTTCCTTATCAATGCTAACCATGTTTTTTTAGAGAGAACTTGCGTGAGGGATTTTATTTATAGATGATTTTTTACAAGAAGAAGTAAAGCTTTTCTCAATATGGAGTTTGGAAGGTTTTATTATTCAGAGGACTTTCTAGTTTTATTAATAAAACTTGATGAAGTTCTCAATGTTCCACGTACGTGGTATGTCCCCTTTGTTTGGTGTTTGGACTCAGTAGGTTTCCAATCCACGTACGTGATATGTCCCTAAGTTAATGCTCTAAGAATTTTCCTCCTTTGAAGGGTTGAGTGAGTTCCCTCTTCTAGAGGGCTAAATCAACTACCTCAAATTCCCTCTAACATACCCTAAGATTATGGTACTCTTTCACTTGGCTTTGATAAATTTTAGTCTTGATGAAAAATGACTCACACCACCGCAAGCCTCGTGATTTTGTTTTAGTTCATTGATGATTTTTCAGTTACCGTTCTTAATATAGCCATTCACTTGGGAATACCCCACAAATGTGTAGTTGTGCTTGTTTTCCCAAAGTTCAAAGAAATTGTTGAAGGAGCCTGACTCTAATTGGGTACCATTTTCCATGATGATTTGTCAAGGAATGACGAAGAGGAAAATGATGTGTTTGGCAAAAGAATTGTGGCATTGGATATTTGTGATGCTCGTGAGGGGTCTTGCCTCCACCCACTTAGTAATGTAGTCAATGGATACGATCGCCCACCTCGTGTTTCTAACACCCCTAGGGAGAACACTGGTCAAGTCAATACCCCTACCTTGAAAAAACAATTCTTGTGCTGATAGGAAAGTAGTTTGTCGGCAGATGACTAGGTACATTCTAAACCTCCTTGCAAACTCTGCATATCTTTATAAAGTTTGCACTATCCTTCGCGGATGTTTACTATAAGTAGCATTGTAGTTTTAACTTTCCTGAAATAGTATGGGCTCATAGGTGAGTCGATCATATTTCTAATTAAACTTACTCCATGACTTACCTTGCTTCATCTGAGCAAAGCACTAAAGCAGGGTCCCATTGTTGGTGTGATTGTAGAATCTCCTACTCTATAAGATGTAGCTAGGATCTTTAATATTTTTCTTCATACAAGCTTGCTGCTAGTCAAAGAAGATAAAACAACACCTTATAATTTGACTAATTGCTGGAGACTTTGATGTTGAACTTTACAATGTAGTGTGCCTGAAATTCTTCTAAGGTGATGAGCACCACTCCTCTCATTGTTTTTTAATGGTGGAGGAGCGGTCAGTAAAGATTATCTACAACTCATTGGTTGTGCCACACATCGGTTTAGCAGTCGATTCTTTTCTCCTCATGCATTCAATGACAAATTTGGGCTAGCATTTGTCCCTTGATCAAGGGCCTCATAGTAAACTTGATTTAAAAGGTTCTAAAGAATACCACACACTTGGACATCCTTGGTATTGCATTAAAGATGTGTAAGATTGCTCCTACGGGCTACTATGATAGGATGTGCACCCAATGCGCTTCAAAATGAGAAGTGAGATTTTACGCCATCCAATTCATGACAATGATAGTCTTTTCCACCACTAGCTACCTCATGTTCACAGCGGGTCATCACCATGTAGTAGACCAGGTGCTGAGTCTCTCCATCTTCACGTACTAAGACTAGGGAGACAACTTGAGGTCTGAACCCCAAGTATGTATAGAGCCTCTCCCTAGGCTTTGGTGGTGAATGCAATGGTCGAAAGATAAAATTTTCATTGAGAGTTTCAAAGGACCTCTTGAACCCTTTGGTCCATACAAAACCTGTTGTCTTTCTTAACCACTTAGAAGAATCGTATGCCTGATCTGTTAGTTTTGACAAGAAGTGGTTCAAAGCAGCCAACTTACTGATCATTTATTGCACCTCCTTAACATTACAAGGTTTCTTTATGTCTAACATCGAATGAATGTTCTTCAAGTTGGATCAGTCTTGCTTTAACTCAACAAATGCCAAGGAACTTCCCACTTCGAACGCCAAATGTGTACTTATTTAAGTTAAGTTGAGATTGTACTCCTACGTCATGAAGAAGACTCCATCCAGGTCCTTTGCATATGAAAACTCTTGCTTTTTCTTCACTATCATGTCATCCAAATACACGTCCATCCTCTTTTTGAAGACCAAGGTGAAGAGTTTGCTCACCATGAAATGATAGGTGACCCCTTCATTCTTGAGACCAAAGGGGAAACGTTTGTATAAGACCCCGGCTCTAATCCTGACCAAAAGTGTCTATTCATTGGATTACAAACTAACCCCACAAACCAACAAAAGTGTTTCCAGCTCACTCATCCCCTTCATAATTTCAAGAATGTCCTATGCAGCTATGATTCCATAGCACATGTACAGTTTGAGATAAGCATGTACTTTATTGCATCGGCTATACCAAATATAGAATTTAATGCCTTATCATTAAACTCAATTGCAACAACTTTGACTCTGCTCTATTCTTCAAAAGGTTTAATAGTGGATGTTAATCTTCTCAGAACTTCAACAGTTCTTTCCACCCAATTTCCACGTTGCGCCAGACTCCACCTCCTTGAGATATCAGAAACGCCCTCATTCGTTCTTTCCAGAACTTATAATTGTGCACATGTAGAAGTGGTGGTCGTTGTACATTGGCCCCTTCTTCCATGTCACCCATGGTTAAGATCAAAATTGCTAGTAAGATAAGCCCAACTTCTCTAATACCAATTGAAAGGTTGTAGGGGGCAGCAGAAATACCCAAGTACCGATAAGTAGAACAAACAAACTATTGTAGGATATCTTTTAGCACAGTCACGGAAACTAATGACTAACCAAGGGCTAAAACATCTTCTTTATCTCATGCAAACAGACAGAATATAAAGTAAAAGAAGTAAGTACTGCACAAGAATTGTTTACGTAGTTTAGAGCTGACTCTCCTACATCTACGAGGCCATTATCTGTGTAATAGTCCTCCACTAAAGCAGCGTAGCGCTTATAATCAACTACACAAGAGTACCTTCTTAATGTATTTATTAAAGACTTACAAGTGATTACTGACTACAAACTCTATTTGAGTCTTTCTCCTTAACGTGTTACACATTCTTCATGTTTTATATCAAGAACATGTTGTCGGCCTGTTTCCATATCATCACCATTCTTAACTTTTGGATGTGATTGTGGACTCATACTTCATAACGAGGATTACAAGTTGCCATCCTTCTTCGAATATCACCACGCTCTGATATGAATAGTGTGGCGTGATATATGGCCGCTCTCGTATTTCGAAGAATACTCTCTTTTCCTTAGTTGTCGACCAATCTTTCGTCAACCCCTTCATACGAGACGGTACTTCAATATAAATACTAGAGCGGAAAACCCCTAGTAGAGTCATAACTGGAGTCTTCTTCTTGGTGTCAAGTATGCTTTGTTTCCCAGAAGAATAATTCGAATATAGCTTCACGTGTATCTCAATAATGTAGGGCTATTTAGGAGAAAGTTTCAAAGGCTGTAGAAAAGAAATAGTAGCATGCACCATGTCTCTTGGAAGAGCATGCATTAAAATGTTTTCTACTAAAATAGAAACACCTTCCTGGTTGTGATGACCAACA